TAAGTTCTCAGGAAGAGTCCTCTTCTTGACTTGAGGACGACTGCCTTCTTGTGCCTTCCATGGGAGACTGAGACAGTGGGCTTTCATCTCTCTTCCTATAAAGATATTAGTCTCATCATGAGGCCTGCATTCCCATCATTTCATTGAAAATAAATCTCTAAATGCCTCAAAATACCATCATTTCACAGCATGCTCCACTATCTTACTAGGCTTTGCTTACAAAACACAAATTCAGAGATCAAATTAAGATTTTCAAGACACTAACCACAGAGCATTGAATCCTAAGTGTAAGGCCTTTTACTGAGCCTGGTCCCAATACAAGTATAGTAGCTCAAGAACCTGAAGCTGTTCCAGCTAATAGGAGTGATCCAGTAGATTGGGGAAAGTGAGGTTTATGAACTCAGGAGCAAAGAACATGGTAAATGAGAAAAGATGGGATCCTGTATATCAGTAGAGTGTTTGACCTGAAATAAGAGTATGAATCCTTTATTCTCTGTAATAGGAAAGGTTGGCAGATTATATCTGTATATATGTTAGTAAGTTGTTTTAGGTGGTTAAAATACCAGATATTAGTTCTTTTTCTATTTCTTGTTTTCTCATTAGCATAAAAGAGCATCAATATTATAAAAAGGAAAAAGAAGAAAAGAATTAGAAAGACAACAGAGAGTAAAACAGGTACACCTAGAAAGACAAATGGGATATTCATCTAGGAATATTTACAGCGTGGGCTGGTGTGCTAGGATCAGCAATCTAGGGTGACACTAATCAGTCTTTAACCAAATTCAGCAACCTACTAACAGCTACAGAGTAGGCAATGAGTTGGACTAAATCAGGCTGCACTTTGTCAAGTGAGTCTCATCAAGCAAGAGTACTCAAGGTACAGGTGAAGGAGGGGTGTAGGGACAAAATATGGTTTATGCCACCTAGTGGCAGTTCTCAGTTTTGGTTTCAATTGTCAAGTTTTATTTGGTCTCTAGCTTGCACATTTAAAAGCAGCAGTAAGCCCAGGAATATTTCTGTGAGTTAGCATTAATTTAAGCAGTTTTTCTGCAATTTAGGTTAGGATTTGAGAGACACATCCTCTACCTCCTAGTTTTTCCAAAGGAGTTGTTTGCTATTTGTTTGCCTGGCTTCACTCTCTTGTTTATATCCTCCACCATACGGAAGATAAATCACTCCCATATACTTAAGAAAGGATTTCAAGGGCCGGCGAGATAGCTCAATGGACTAAGTGCCCGCTTTGGCAAGCACAGGAACCAGCGTTCAATCCCCAATCCCACATGCTGTGCCAGCCCCGCCCCCAGGGTGCACTAAGCTGGCAACCGAGTTTGGACATCTTGGCACACACTGTAATCCCAGTGCTCGGGAGGCAGAAAACAGAACGATCACTATGAGTCCAAGCTGCCTAGTGAGACCCTGTACCAAATACATAAAATGAAAAACAAAAATGGATATCAAGTAGAAGGCTAGAGCCAACAGTCAGTGAGGTAGTTCCTAAATTCTAGTGCTTAACACATTTCTTATTCCAAGGCAATGCTGTAGTTCATGACATGAACCTGGTATAGATGAGTGAACACTGATTAAAAACAAGAGTTCTAAGAACTGAAATTTGGAGTCTACCAAGATTTGCACATTCCCTGCTTCAACTACCCACTCCATGGTGATAACCTAGCCAGCCTTCTCGGCCACCCTGAGTGACGACAGATTGTTCCAGAACACACAGAGCTGAGCAATGTGGCGCATGTACATGAAACCAGCACAGGGAAGTGGACACAAAACAATGCCCAGTCCATGTCCTGCCCAGGCAGGTCAGTGAGAACCTATCTTTAAATAAATAAATAAGATATAGGGATGTAGCTCTGTGGCAAAGCACCCCTAGGTTGGAGCCCTACTATTTGAAGGGAAAACACACATAGTAATTTTTTAAAAGTACAAAACTTCAATTATTCTTTCATTTTTGTTATTATAACATTTGTACAAAAGCATGCAAGCAGACTGCCAGCTTGAACACACCTGAGTCTAGACCTTACTTTATTGTAACCGTACTGTCTCTACCTCACTAAAACACTGTTCTTTCTCATTCTTCTCAGTGTTCTCCTTCCATCAATTTCTCAAGCTCAGCAGGCATGCTAACATGCTCACTTCCCAGAAAGTGTGTTATGGCTTGTGTCTAGTTGTCCCCCCAGAGCCTCATGCAGTCATGGGGGCAGGCTTCTAGAGGTCGTGACTAATTCAAGACCCAACTCTGGGATTATGGGTGGGAGCGCTACAGCCACCCTGCGGCAGAGGCTCGCTAGCTACCGAAGCCCCTGCTCCTCCCTCTTGCTGATACTGCTCTTTGCTGCTCTTCTGCCCTCTACCATGTGTCACTCCGCCTTGAAGCCAGCCGAGCACGGACTGAATCCTCCACTAACTGTGAGCTAAATAGACATTTCCTTCCTTAATTTTGGGCATTGGATATTTTGTCCCAGCACTGAGAGAAAAGTGAGACAAAGTGAGAATAAGAAATAGACATACATATTTTATCTCTCTCTACCGATACTTAATTTCCTACTTCACTGAAAGAGAAACAACCAGAAAACCTTCACATTCTTCCAACACATCTAGCAAACTATGGGGCTCGAACCTGCAAAGTCATGCTGTAGAGCCTAATGTGTAAACCACTACGCTATCTCTCCAGCTTCTAGCAAACTATGGGCACCTTGATTCATATTCTTACCTCCCTACCACTGTGAGGATCTTTTCCTCAGGAATATATGTATACATATAAACTTTTTCATTGAACGTCAAAGGATTCTCAGACTCACATTAAGTCTATTAAGAAATTCTGAGATAAAAACCACTAACCTGCATGTCATGGTGGTGCATGCCTACAATCCCTGTACTCGGGACGCCAAGGCAGGAAGATCTGTTAGAGGCCAACCTGGACTACATAAGTGAGTTCACGGACAGCCTGCCTCCTGAAACACCAAAAGAAGAATCAAAGATGTCATGTCATTTTATTTATTTCCATGGATTGAGGGGCACTGGCAAGGAGTTTGAATTATTTCACTTAAAAATGTACCAGACATCTCAACGATAAGATCATGATTGTGAGATGATTTATACGAAGAATTATTTGCTGGGCTGACCAGATAGCTCAGCAGATTAAAACGCCTGCTTAGGCAAATGCAGGAGCCCGGAGTTCAATGCCAGGACCTGCTGTGCTGGCCCACCCCACGGACATGCCGACACAGCTATTGAGACTGGGTGTGGTGCAAACTGTCACTGAATAGATTATTTTTTTACTAACAAAGGGAAACATAAACTTTTACCATAGCACTGTCACAAGATTAAATAAATGAGCAAACAGTAATAGTGAAAAAACCTGATGTCAAACGTTTCCAAGTGTGATGCAGTAAGAATTGTGCAGTATGATATATGGAGTGTCCTTGCCAATACCAGTTAGCCTGAAGCATTTACGCCTCTATAACTTGCAGTGTAGAGAGAATATAAAATCTAGGGGCATAGTTCATGCTAAGAGCACTCCTCAGGATAACTGGCTAGGTCTCCTAAAGGAAGGAATTTTGTATTACTGCAGGAAAATGGATAGAGGTATTATACTAAGAGAGACTAAAGGAAGTTAAAAACCTCACCCTGAGGGGCAATGATTCTTGGGATGTGTGAAAACAAAACTTCACACAAATGGCACTTTATGAAGTTAGAGAAATCTAAATGTTGAGTATTGGACAACAATAGAGAACAATTATTTCAAAGGTGTATTAAAGGTACACATAAGACCTTTATGTCCTATGGGAGACAGTTGTATATAAAGAATATAGAGACGGTGTGTCATGTGCAATTTTCAATTCTAAACAACAACTACACATATATGTATACACATAAATACATAATAGACATGGCTAAGTATTTGAATTGTGATGACTTTTTGATTATCTTTTCTGAGCTTGTGTGACTTTTTGATTATCTTTTCTGAGCTTAAAATAGTCAGAATAGGAGTGGGAAAAAATAATTATGCTTCCCACCAACTCTAAGAGTCCATTTAGGATTACCTCTAAAGGTAATCCTTTAGATTACCTCTCGTGATCCTAGGACAAAACTCTCCATTCTCCAAATATCCTTGACATTTTGAATTCAGCACTTAACATTCTGCCTTGCACTCAGCTTGGAGAACACACTGTAAAGTTCTAGGGGATATACAAATTAAAGAGTTAAATTAGAATGAGTTTACGGCTGGGCTTTCTTAGGCAAAAAGAAAATGCTAAGCTAAAGCAGTATGATTTAAGGGCGAGGTGACAAAAGCCGCAGCTAGAAAGGCAGCAATGAAGCTGCAAAGTTGAGAGAACACGCGCAATGCTGAGCGGACAGCCCTGGCTCGCCTTTGGGCTTTCATCAGCTTTCCTAACTAGCGTGACCCCAATCTCCGAATCCTCAGACTTGGCCGCTTGACAGCCAGCGACCGCACGCGTGGGGTCAGCCCGGCAGCGCGGCGACTTCCCGGCAGGACCCACAGGTCGTCCGGTCCGCCGCTCGCCGCGCGGGCCTAGAGCCCTGGAGACTCACCTTTCACCCCATTTCCCAGCACACGCTCCACATTCCCACTACCGGGCACAAATCCCTCGGAAATATTCACAACGGTCCGCTATTTCTAAGCAACTAACTGCATCTGTGTACGCTTTTTTTCGGATGCAAACATCCTTTTCTCCTCGCTTTAGCTCAAGTTTGACAGGAAAGTGTACTTTGAATTGACAAGGCGGAAAGTTCAGCGTGACATCGCTCTCCGGGTAAAGGTCGGCGGGCCGCGGGCGGGGACAGCGGCCCTCGGCGGCGTCCGGGACTCTGGTCGGCCGGGCGCCGAGCGCTTCTCTCAAGGTCGCGCCGACAGCCCCGCAGAGCATGCGCAGGGACGAGCCGCGCAAGCGCCCCCCGCAGGCCCCGGGGAGGGGGAGGGGCCGCGCGCGCCTCCTGGGCCCCGCCCCACCGGGCCACGCCCACTGGCTGTGGGCGGGGTCCTGGAGGTCTGGGTTCCTGCGCGCGCGGAGGCTCTCGAGGGTCCGCTGAGCAGTGCGGCCGGCTCGAGCTCCAGTCAACATGGCAGCGGTGCTGAGGCGGAGCTGCGCGGTGAGAGGTCGCCAGGGCCGCGGTGGGGCTGGACGCGGGTGCGGGGTGGAGGAGAGGCACGCGGCGCGCTTCTGCGTCCTCCGCTCCGCCCGTGGGCGCCTGCCCGCTGCGGGTCGCGCACCCCCGCCGACTCGCGACCCTGACGCGACGCCCTGCAGACCCCTCCCCGGGACCCTCCTGCCCTTGCCCAGAGCGGAGCGGGACCCCAGGGCGGCTGTCAGCGGCCTGCAGGAGATGCCCACCGCGGCCCCCGCCCGCGAGCGAAAGCGCGTCGCGTGCCCCGCCGCCGGCGAGTGCGCTGCGCGTCCGGCGCGCGTGGACCCGAGGCGCCGCGGCCGCGGGCAGGGGGGAGGGCCGCGCTTGGGCACCCAGCGCGCCGTTTTCCTGCTGAGGGGGAGCCCCTGCCAGGTGCGCAGCTCCAAACAAAAAGGAAAGGAAAAGCAGGACGGCAGAAGTTTGCGTGAAACTTGTGGTATTATCCCGGGTTCCAAATGCGCTTGGGTAGCTTAAATATGGGGATACACTCGCAGGGCTGGCGTGTAAATGACTCGTGAAAACTGAACTGACGCTTTAGGCTTTATGATCGGAGTATGATTGCCCCGTTTCTGCAGTTGCTGTGCAAGTTGGTGGACTCGGAAGGGAGAAATGATCTTTTAAAATTATTTTTAACTCTGACATCAGAAGAAAGATTTCTGTCTCCGAGGAAGGTTCTGGAAAAAACTTAATCACAAAGCTTATTTTCCTGTATCTCTTTGATTCTCCTATAAAAGCACTGAAATTTTTAAGAAAACCATGGGAGTACTTCATGTAGTGCTGGTATTGTTGCAGAATTGATACTTGATTGAATCTGCGGTCTTATGGATATTTTTCAATTCTGTTCTTCGCAAAGGGCTGAGTTATTAAAATCAGCAATCTATGACAATTATGTGTTGCAAGCATATACTAGTAAGAAAAATTTAAAAAGAAACGCAGTCTTACTGATAGCGTCTTTTCTCAGTTAGACTAGAAGCTGGAAGTCTGTAACCTGTCCTCAAACTCAGCAGTTCCAAGGGGTAATTTTCTTGGTTCTGCTTCTGCACACCTCTCTAAAGGGTTGGCATTATGCAATTGGCAGATCTGTGGACAGTGATCTTTGGCAGTTTGGCACTTTGTTTTACATAACGGGTTTTCTGGAAAAATCATAATGTAAATGGGCTTTTATGAAGTACTTAAAATTCGTTAAATAATTTTACCTGTCTTGTGAGGAATAACTTTTGTGTTGTACCTTTTAATCAAATTTATAATAGGATCAGGTTATTTGGTCTGGTTTTTGAAGAGTGTTTTTCTTCCTTGTGGAGCCTGATGACCACTTAGGAGACTGAAAGGGCAGTGTTGCAAGCTGGCAGATAGCATAGACTTGAGAGCAGATGTGACAAATGAGAACCCTGGTTCTACTGCCTAAAAGCAAAATGACCTTGACTTATTTACCTGACCTTTGTGACCCTCAATTCCTTCCTGTGTAAAATAAGAATAAAACTAGTGCTCCAATCCTGGGCTTGACCTGGGGTTCGGTAGACTGATACATGTGACAACTGTAAAGAATATCTTTGCCCTGGGAAGGCTATAGACAGTGAGGGCAAGAGAACCACATTTTACTCCCAAAATAAAATGAATGAAAATTGGAAAAGACACATCTTCATACAGTAAAACAATTTTTTGGAATTATAGAGGTGTGTTATTTTCAAAGGGCTAAAGTACATATTTGACAGTAATGTTATTACTTTAAAAATGGGCAAATCTCTGTTGATTGAAATTGTCATTTACAAGGTGAACACTTTATTTCTACATATTTTGGGAAGCATAAATATAGTTCTAGAAACTGTTACATTGTTCGCCATTTTTATAGTTCTATCAGAATCCTTTAAAATGTCAACTATGTCGTTTTGACTGCCTTCAAACCACTGATGGGAGCACCTGTTGTGGTTTTCAGGTAACTTTAATAGCCATTTCTTTTGTATCATTCAGTTGTTACTAACATAAAAATGGGTTAAAGCCTAGCATGGTAGGGCATGCCAACAATCCCAGCATTCTGGAGCTGAGGCAGGAGGATTACCATGAGTTAAAGGCCAGCCTAGAATACACAGCAAGACTTTGTCTCTAAAAATAAATAAATAAATAAATCCAAAGTATAGTATTTGTATATGTTTGTATTTCTAATACATCATTTTGAAGGACTATATGTTAGCTATTAAGATAAGTGTATTGGGCCGGAGAGATGGCTCAGTGGAATAAGCGCTTGCCTTGCAAGCGCAGAGACCCGAGTTCAGTCCCTGGTTCCACCAAAAAAAAAAAAGAAAGAAAACAAAAAAGGTAAGTGTATTAATAGAACAAACTTTGGCATTTAGTTGGCATACTTTTTGTGAACCATGTGGTCTCCTGTGGCAACCAAACAGCTTCACTGTGAGAGCAGCAATAGATCATATGGTATGACTATGTTCCAACAAAACGTTTTAACAAAATAATGACTGCCTTAGTTTGCAGGCCCTTGGCTTAGAATACTGTAAAAATGCCTATGAAGAACAGAAACGGTAAAGTGTGGTTTTGTGCTAACTTATTAGAGCGTCTTAGGAAAAAAACTAAATGATACCCACTTTGTTAGCTAGGTATCTTAGAAAGTGTGACCTGCAGGGGCCAGGGAGATAGCTCAGCAGCCTAAGTGCCTGCCATGACAAGTGGTTTGATGCCCTGAACCAAAAAAAAAATGACCCTCCAAAGGAAGATTCTCAGAGGCACACCTAAAGGATCACAGGGATAGGATCACAGAGGCATGCTGAAGGAGAATTAAAATTGATGGGTTCTGATGCAGTATTCAGGTCTTGAACATAGTACAGTTCTATCTATTATTCTCTTTACACCAATTTCTCAACCACTAATGTCCAGGAGCTTATTGGTGAAATTTCCAGAATAGTGATCCAAATTCTGCTACTAACCTAATGTTCCTATGTAGTACAAATACAATCAGTTTTATTTTCTTTACTTTTTTAACAGCCTGTATGCTGTTCATAATGGCTTATTTAAATTTATAATTGAAAGTATTAGGACCGGTGAGATAGCTTAGCAGACTGAGTATCTGCTTAGGCAAGCATAGAGTCCAGGGTTCGATTCCCAGTACTACATGCTGTGCCAGCCCTGCACCCAGGCACCCTGAGCAGCCACCAAGACCAGGTATGGTGGTGCAGGCCTATAATCCCAGTGCTGGAGAGGCTGAAAACTGGAGGATTACTATGAGCCCAAGCTGCTAGTGAGACCCTGTACCAAATACATAAAATTAAAAATAATCAAACGTATTTAATAATGACTTTAAAAATCAAGGCTATATTTATGATTAAACAAGTGGCCGTATGTCATCATACTGATCGGAATTCTCGTAGTATGATTCTTCATGCTTGATCTTAGTGAAAAGGCCAAGAAGCAATTATATGATTCTTATTTTATCTGTTTTATTTTACATTGTCTTCTTACAGGTCCTAAGAAATATTTCTCATTTTGAGTGGAGAGCACAGCATACAAAGCCTGCTCACAAACGTGAACCAGGATTGGGATTTAGTTTTGGTATGTGTTGTTCTCTCTTTTGGCTTTAAAATATGTTTCTGTAGTGTATTTGTAAACTTGGTCATGACTGTCACAGAGTAGAACCAGACACCATCTGCAGGTGGCTCAGGTACTCGTAGTGTTCTTCTAATCTCACTTTCTTCTGAAGTATAGCACCATATGCATTTGATGTGCTAGCAGCATATGTACATACATATTCCTTCCCTTTTTTCTACATGTGTGGCTCAGGATAAGTGACCAATTTGCTGATACATCGGAATAGTTTTTAATCTATACATACGAATGCAACACATACTTCTTAGACACAAGGTATGCAATACTAGTAACTGGTAATACCTCAAGAGCGTGTTTTGACAATTTTTTGAAGTTTAGGTTTATGAAGTGTTAGTTAGAGTTCTCAGACCTGGGACTAGGGAGCAGTGGGGTGTCAGAGAAGAAAAAATGAGATTTTCCTTCCTTTTTCTAAAATGAAAACCCCAGGAAAAAATGTGAAATAATAATCTAGCATCTTTGATATCTTTTCCTCTAGACCCTGAAAGGGCTTCTTGATTCAGAATTCTCATCTTTCTTCTAGTTAAACGTCTGTATTCTCAGTTCACTTGATCTCAGAAAATAGTTACAAGGCAGCTGAAACAATTAACTCACACCCAGGTGCAGTTCAGTCTCACAACTCCCTAGAATTATTGTCTTTGTTCAGTACTTTCTTTTCCTTTCTTATAAAGTTTTTTTTTCCTGAATTAAGTGAAAAATTTTTAAGCAGGGTGAAGATAGCAATTTGGTTTATTGGCTTCTTTTGAGATACTATCATTGTTTGGTATGATTGCTATCAAGTTTCAGCTTACCATACACACTCAAGAGTGAGACTGGGCAGGCCAACTAGCTCAGCAGATTCTGTGCCAGCCCCACCCCCTGGGGCACACTGAGACTGTGATTGAGACAGAGTATGGTGGCCCAGGCTGGTAATCCCAGCACTTGGGAGGATCACTACGAATCCAGTCTTCATAGTAAGACCCTATAGACTCTGTAGACCCTGTCCTAAAAAAAAAAAAAAGAGACTGTCAGGAGAAATCTGTGATGGCTTCCTGAATGACAGAATAAAACTGAAGTACTTGGGAGGAAGAGTGAAGCTCAGAGGAAAAAAATTTAGAGAAGTGTTATAACCAGTTGATCTGGTTCTTTTAAAAACTGATAATGTGGCACAGATGCCGCCGCCTCTGAGATTTAGTCTGTGATGGCATCCCTCACGTCCCACCGTCTTCCTCCCGAAGGTAGCTCCCACACTTTGCAGCTCGGAGTCCCTGGGACCAGCCGCCAGCAGGCCCCCGACCAGGACTACCCCTAAACTGGAACCACAGTAGCCAGACTTGAACGTGAAGACAAGAAGCAGCAACCGGAAAAGGCTGTCGGGCCGCAAGAAGGCAAGCCAGGCCTCAAGGAGGAAGAGGAAGGCCGGACTCAGCCAAGCTGTCACGACCGGAGGGGGGACTCGCAGCCTTTCCAGGCATTTAAGTATTCATCCAAGAGTCACCCCAGTAGTGGTGACCACAGACATGAAAAGATGCGAGACGCCGCAGATCCTTCACCACCAAATAAAATGTTGCGAAGATCTGATAATCCTGAAAACAAATACAGTGACAGCATAGGTCATAATAAGGCCAAAAATATGCATACTCACAGAGTTAGAGAGAGGGAAGGTGGGACCAGTTACTCTCCACAAGAAAATTCACACAACCACATAGCTTTTCATAGTTCAAATTCACATACCTCTAATCCAAGCAATAATCCAAGCAAAACTTCAGATGCATCTTACAATTCTGCAAATGACTGGTCTGAGCATATTAGCTCTTCTGGGAAAAAATATTACTACAGTTGCCGAACAGAAGTTTCACAGTGGGAAAAACCAAAAGACTGGCTTGAAAGAGAACAGAGACAAAAAGAAGCAAATAAGGTGGTAGTTAATAACTTTCCGAAAGATAGGGATTACAGAAGAGAGGTGATGCAAGCAACAGCCACTAGTGGGTTTGCCGGTGGAAAATCTACAGCAGGAGACAAATCAGTATCACATTCTTACACAACTCCTTCTACATCTTCTGCCTCTGGACTGAACCCCACATCTGCACCTCCAACATCTGCTTCTGCAATTCCCATTTCTCCTGTTCCCCAGTCACCGATACCTCCATTACTTCAAGACCCAAATCTTCTTAGACAGTTGCTTCCTGCTTTGCAAGCCACTCTGCAACTCAATAATTCTAACATGGACATATCCAAAATAAATGAAGTTCTTACAGCAGCTGTGACACAAGCTTAACTGCAGTCTATAATTCATAAGTTTCTTACTACTGGACCATCTGCTTTCAACATAACATCTCTGATTTCTAAAGCTGCTCAGCTCTCTACACAAGCCCAGCCATCTAATCAGTCTCCCATGTCTTTAACATCTGATGCCTCATTCCCAAGATCTTACGTGTCTCCAAGGATAAGCACACCTCAGACTAACACCGTTCCTATTAAATCATTGATTAGTACTCCTGTTTCATCACAGCCAAAGGTTAGTACTCCAGTAGTTAAGCAAGGACCAGTGTCACAATTGGCCACACAGCAGCAGCCTGTCACTGCTGACAAACAGCAGGGTCATGAACCTGTCTCTCGTCGAAGTCTTCAGTGCTCAAGCCAGAGAAGTCCATCACCTGGTCCAAATCACACTTCAAGTAGTAGTGCATCAAATGCAACAGTTGTACCACAAAACTCATCTGCTCGCCCTGCGTGTTCCTTAACACCTACGCTAGCAGCACACTTCAATGAAAGTCTCATAAAACACATTCAAGGCTGGCCCACAGACCATGCAGAGAAGCAAGCATCAAGATTGCGTGAAGAAATCCATAACATGGGTAGTACTCACATGTCAGAAATATGTACTGAGTTAAAAAATTTATGATCTTTAGTCCGAGTATGTGAAATTCAAGCAACTTTGCGAGAGCAAAGGGTACTGTTTTTGAGACAACAAATTAAGGAACTCGAAAAGCTAAAAAATCAGAATTCCTTTATGGTGTGAAGATGTGAATAATTGCACATGTTTTTGAGTACAGGAACTATAAATCTATTGCCCAATCTTAACATTTTTGAGCTGCATTTAAGTAGACTTTGGACAGTTAAGCTGGGCAGAGAAAATGACAAGGGGATAGGGTCTTGTGAGAGTCAATTCAGGGGAAAGATACAAGATTGATTTGTAAAACCCTTGAAATGTAGATTTCTTGTAGATGTATTCTTCACGTTGTAAATATGTTTTGTAGAGTGAAGCCATGGGAAGCCATGTGTAACAGAGCTTAGACATCCAAAACTAATCAATGCTGAGGTGGCTAAGTACCTAGCCTTTCACATGTAAATCTGTCTGCAGCTCTTCCTGTAAGCGGCCTTAGGTGACCTGTGAAAATGGTTCGCTACTCTCTTGACCCAGAAAACCCCACAAAATCATGCAAATCAAGAGGCTCAAATCTTCGCGTTCACTTTAAGAACACGCGTGAAACTGCCCAGGCCATCAAGGGTATGCATATCCGAAAGGCCACCAAGTATCTCAAGGATGTCACATTAAAGAAGCAATGTGTACCATTCCGGCATTACAATGGTGGAGTTGGTAGGTGTGCCCAGGCCAAACAGTGGGGCTGGACACAGGGTCGGTGGCCCAAAAAGAGTGCTGAATTTTTGCTGCACATGCTTAAAAATGCAGAGAGTAATGCTGAACTTAAGGGTTTAGATGTAGATTCTCTGGTTATTGAACATATCCAGGTGAACAAAGCACCCAAGATGCGCCGCCGTACTTACAGAGCTCATGGCCGGATTAATCCATACATGAGCTCCCCCTGCCATATTGAGATGATCCTTACTGAAAAGGAACAAATTGTTCCCAAACCAGAGAAGAAAGTTGCACAGAAGAAAAAGATATCCCAGAAGAAACTGAAGAAACAAAAACTTATGGCACGGGAATAAATTAAGCATAAAATAAATGCAAATAAAATTAATGTTGTCTGTTAAAAAAAAAAAAAAAAAAAAGGGGCCGGGGAGATGGCTCAGTAGGCTAAGTGCTTGACTGGCAAACGCAGCGATCTGAGTTCAATCCCCGGTTTCGCAAAAAAAAAAAAAATAAAAATAAAAATAAATCTGTCTGCAAAATTAGCTTTTAAGAAAAAAAATTGGGGTTAGTTTATCATTCAGAAATCTTGCATTTTCAAAAATTCAGTGCAAGCGCCAGGCGATCTGTGTCTAAGGATGCGATTTTAAACCATATGGGCAGTGTACAAAATATCATGAAACAACTGTTTCCACACTTGCACCTGATCAAGAACAGTGCTTCTCCATTTGTTTTGCAGAGAAATGTTTTTCATTTTCCATGTGTTCCATTTCCCTCTTAAATCCTTGATCTGATTTTACCCATTTTTTAAGACGCTCTTCCTCCTTTCTTAAGGCACTGTTGCTATGGCACTTTTCTATAACCTTTTCATTCCTGTGTACAGTAGCTTAAAATTGCAGTGATTGAGCATAACCCACTTGTTTGTATAAATTATTGAAAATCCATTTGCACCCTGTAAGAATGGACTTAAAGTACTGCTGAGCATGTGTGCTGAAAGTACACTGGGTGCTCATTTAAAAGGAAATGGCCCAATGAACATGGTTGTGGGAGGGGAAAGAGGAAACAAAGCTAGTCAGATGTGAACTGTATCTGTTGTAATAAACACATTAAAAAAAAACTAATAATGTCTGTAACACAGGATTTCTTTCTTTTTTTTTAACATGGAATTTCTTTGAAAATTAAATATGTGCCATTTATAAATCCCTAGCATATGGTGACCAAGTCAAAGTAGTTTCTAAACAAAAGATACATGATAGATCCCAGTCTCTCCTACCCTGCATCCATCCACAACTTTGTTGGGACTGGCTTCAATCTTAGAAGTAAGGTTGTGATTTAGAAACCATGGGACCAAAATACTATACTTTTACTAATTCATTATAAGACTAGGAGGCAATCATTTCTTCCCTCCATGCATTATTTATCTTATCTATAAAATGAAAGATTTAATCTTCTGTTCAATTCAGAACCAAAATTCTGTTGTCTTTATACTTATCTCTTTCATGTTCCCATACAAATTATCACTGTAATCACAAATATTCTTCTGTGCTTTTGATCTCATTCTTCTTGCCTGAATTAATCATAGACTCTTTTATCTACATTTTGATGTTGGATGAAACAGCATTAAAATGCTAAATGGGCTGTTGAGATAATTCAGCAAACTAAGCACCTGCTTAGGCAAGTGCAGGGACCAGAGTTCCAGCCCCTGCACCAAAGGCCACGCCACCCTGCCCTTAGGCACGCTGAGCCTCAGACAGGTAGCGCACGCCTGTAATCCTGGCACTGGGGAGGCTGAAAACAGGAGGATCACTACAAGTTCAAGCTGTGTAGTGAAACCCTATACCAAATACATAAAAAAGAAAGAAAGTTAGATAGTGTAGATTTGAAAACGTGCAGCTAATGGTTGATTTTTTTTGGTCCTGCCATCACGTGTATCTCTTTAGCTTTGCAATAGCAAGTCTTTGTTTTTTATAAATGAATTATTTGGACCCATGTCATTGTTAGTGCAGCAGAATTTTATATTACTTTTTCCTGAGAAATTTTCCCATCACATCTACAACTTTCTTTAAACTGACACATTTAAGTGCACAAATTAGTATAAAGGGGTGAAATAGAAATTATGGTATTGCTAATACCCAGGATATTGTTTGAAATAAGATTTCTTGCATTTGGTGACAGTGTGCCACATTTCTTTAGACAAATTTTTACAATTAGTAGCATGTCTTAGATAGTAGTTTCATTTCAGTGTTAGTAAACGCTTGATAAACCTGCTTGGGAATGAGAAATAAACTTATGTATGTGTTTTTACCTCATCAATTAAAATAGAAGTAGCTCTGTGAATTTGTATCTTTACTGTTTTTGTAGATCCTACAAAGCTTAGCTATTTCCTTCAGCATTAGTGTTGACAGATAGTACTGTACAGTGAAGTTGTGATCAGTTACAGATTACATTGTAGTCTTTCATTTTCTGCTAAATCAAAGGTAAATGTATACCTTGTAAATATAAATTTCTACATATGACTTTATAGAAGTTTTTCTCAACTCATTGTCTTATTTTAATGTTTCTTGAATTATTTTGCCTCAGAGTTAACTGAACAACAGAAAGAATTTCAAGCTACTGCTCGTAAATTTGCCAGGGAAGAAGTAATCCCAGTTGCTGCAGAATATGATAAAACTGGTGAAGTAAGTACACACACTTTTAAGGAGAAATACATCTCAAGTGTTTTATGAGATTATGTAATCAAACTTTAAATATTAGACACATTATAACTGTTCTTTCCTTTTTTTTCTCTTTTAGTACCCTTTGCCCCTAATTAAGAGAGCCTGGGAGCTTGGTTTAATGAATGCACACATTCCAGAGAGTTGTGGTAATCTTTCTTCACATTTTTAGTCCAACAATGGATATGAAAAAGAAAAATGTTAAACTTCACTCATTCATTTAAGCATTTGTTGACATTGAATGGCTTGCTTTCTGTGCTTTCCTATTCAGAATACATTTGCCTGCTCTTAGATACCTATACCCAACACTGAGAGGCACTGTTTCCTCTTTTTAACTGACTCCAGCCTTTATTTTTTTAAAGAGAGTACAAAATAGTATTAAAACAGAGAAATTACTAATGATTCATAACTGCACTGAACAATATACAATGAATTTCACTTCATTATTTTCAATATACAATGAATTTCACTTTCATTATTTGTTGTAATGCATAGTGGTTTCTCCAAATTAGTTGTTCATGTACCAGATATATGCATGCAAAATTGGGAGAAGAAAGAGAAAAAGAAAAAATTTACAAGAAATTAAGACTAGAAAAAAGAAAAGAATTGAAAAAAGGCAAAACAAATTAAGCATTAACTGCTCCTTTCCAGTGCCCAGCAGAAATCCACAGTACAATTGTCCCAAGCATCCTGCTTAGATACATAGATATATCTCTTTCTCCCATCCAACCTTAATTTGATCCTAAGTTAGCTAACTTCTTGTCTATAATTGATCAGTTTGCTGCATTTCATCTTGTTTTTTTCTCAATAATTGTTACATTTTAATCCTACTTTCTGTTTCACCTTTTACTGAGACTATTTTTAAATGCGATTGTTTTTGTCTTCGTCAAATCAATGTGTCTAAGCTTTATGGGAGTTGAGGCAAAGTTTTACAAAATCACATTTTAAAAAATAAAGGTCCAAATTATAAAGGAATACTTCTTTGGAAATTTTAAAGCTTATTTTAGAAAAGTATAAGTTGTTATTGCCAGCCAGAATATTTACATATGTTATAATTGTACATTTGCTTTTTAAACAAGTCAGATTATATTAGAAGTAATTAAAATAGCTCCCCTTTATTTTGATTGAGATTCACTAGATAATATAATTGGCTTTTAAAACATTTTGACACTGTAGGAGGTCTTGGACTTGGAACTTTTGATGCATGCTTAATTACTGAAGAATTGGCGTATGGATGTACAGGGTTTCAGACTGCTGTTGAAGCAAATTCTTTGGGGGTAAGTTATTTACACAATTACTTCCCTAGCTGATCTGTTCATGAGACACTCATAACTAAGTACCATTAATTGACAAAACAAAAAAATTTTAAAAACTCCAGTGAAGCCTGGAGTTGTGATTTCAAGACTTGCTTAACCTTCTTATGGTGTTGGCAGTACACAGATTCTTAACTGTCCTTGTGGGAAAGCTGTATATTTTGGCTGTAGTTGCTCTGGCATAGCTGCTGTGGGAATTCTTACACAAGGGCAAGGCTTGAAGCAAGCATTCAAGAGCTGATCCAGTTGGCAAGCTCCCAGGTCAGCATCCCTGAAACTTAGTAAGCACTTCTGAGACAGGAGGCTTGATCATAAGCAGCAGGTCACACATCCTAAATGCTATGCTTTGTTTGAGCATTTTACTTTTGTAAACTTTTACATATTGTGTCACCAACAAGTCCCCCACATAACTTAATGTTATGCATATACTTGAATTAGCAGGTACATTTCCTCATGGGTTTGGCTTTTTAACTTAGAAGCAAAATAAATACAGATTCTTTGAACTTAAGCTTTGGTGGGGTAGTTCTTTTGATTTTAATGGTAGAGTCTGAATTTTCATACGTAATAAAAATCTTGATCTTTTAATGTCAATTTTCTGTGTTAGCAAATGCCTGTTATTATTGCTGGAAATGATCAACAACGAAAGAAGTATTTGGGAAGGATGACTGAGGAACCAATAATGTGTGTGAGTATGTACAGCTGCTGCTTTGTTTCACATTTCACTGGGATTGTTTTGTTTTGTTTTGTTTTTTCCTTTATGATACCAAAGGCTGAACTCGGGACCTCAGCCTTTTATTTTCTTTTGAGATAGGATCTTGCTGTTAATCACAGTGCTCCTGGATCTGCAGTCCTCCTGCCTCAGCCTCCCAGGTAGCTGGGATTATAGGTATGCACTGCCATGCATGCCTGGCCCACATTTTAGAAAGGTTAAGAAGGTGGTGTTTTTCCTTTTCAATCGATATGTATATATGGACTATATGACATTAAGACAAAAGTTAGCAACATAGGTAGGTATAGGTACAGTGATATTTCCAAGAAAGTGTCATAATAATTCTCCTGCTGATTTCCACATAAGATATACCTGCTGCTATAATTTGTTTCTAATTATCCCCACAAAGCCTCAGGCAGCGATGAGATGACTGGCTTCTAGAGTTTGTGATTAATTCATGATCTAAGGCTGGAATTCTGGGTATGAGTGCTACACCCACCCTGAGGCAGATAGTCTGGATGCAATATAAGGAAACGAGAGGCCTCTGCTGCAAGCAGTGGCTGCTCCTCCCTTTTTGCTCTTGCTGTTTTGCTGTTTTCCGCCACTATGAAAGGCTGCTCTCTGCCACGTGCCACTCTGCCTTGGAGCCAACTGAGTATGGATTGAAACCTCCACAGCCTTTCTTTCCTTAATTTTGGTTGTCAGGTATTTTGTCCCAGCAACAAGAGAAAAGTAACCGAGACGCCTAGTTCGTGTTTTTGGGATCCCAAAAAAGTGCCAAAATAGTCTTGCTTTCAGGATAGCTACCTAACTTTGCTGTTCAGGAACTGGGTAGTTCTGAGAAACCACTTCTGAAGGAATTGAGATTGAATGAAGGGAGCTTAAGTGTTTGAACCATGAAACAATAGCATTGAAAGAAAGTCAATGAATTCCTTTTTTTGGTTTTTTTTTTCCATTTTCTTTTGGTGGTGTTAGGGATTGAACCCAGAGGCTTCACACTGACCTACATGCCCAGTTCTCTTTTAATGTTTTAATTCACGGTCTCACTGAATTGCCCAGGCTAGGCTTGAGCTTGTAACCCTCCTGCCTCAGCCTCTGAGTGCTAGAATTGTAGGTATACATAACCACTCCTGGCAATTTAATAAATGTTTAAACTGGATTTTTTGAAAAGGATATTGGTATATATTATAAAGTCTGTTCTGAAGCTCTTATTTTCCTAAAAATTTTTATTGGTTTTTAGTCAACAGTTTAATCAAGGTATGATTGTAGTAGAATAGATTATTAATTTTAAACTTAATTGTGAAAATTAAAAAAATAAAAAAATAAAATAAAAAATAAAAAAAAAAAGTAGGGGCTGGGGAGATGGCTCAAGGGAATAAATGCTTCTCTGGCAAGCGCAAGGGCCTGAGTTCAATCCCCGGTTCTGCAAAAAAAAAAAAAAAAAAAAAATTGTGAAAATTTACCTAAGAGGTCAAAGTCATAATTGAAATGTTTTTCATTTATTTCAGATACCTTAAGATTAGGAAAACTGCTTAATACATTTATACGTATTTTTGATAATTGCTAATTACTCAACAAGTAGTATAGGTCAAACATTCTCAGTGTTGGCCTGCTGTGGTGGCACACTCCTGTAATCCCAGCACTCCAGAGGCTGAGACAGTCAGATCTCTGTGAGTTCAAGTGTAGCCCAGACTACAAAATTGATTCAAAACCAGCCTGAGGGGCTGGTGAGATGGCTCAGTGGTCTAAAGCACCTACTTAGAACAAGCTTAGCAAAGCACAGGGACCAGGGTTCAATCCCCCAGCCCCACATGCCAGCCAGCCACGCCCCCTGGTGGGCTGAGCTGGCCACACACACACACACACACACACACACACAAATAAATAAAAATAAAAAAAAAAAAAGCAGCCTGAACTACATAGTAAAAGCCTGTCTCAAAAGGAAAAAAAGCCGTGCAGCACCCTAGCCCATGCTCACGGGTGCGAGTGGAGCACAGGCTGAGACGCTGCAGGCCCATGACCTAGGCATCTGAGGCAGTGAATAGTAGCTCTTCAAGTCTGCAACAAAAATGGCCTCCAATAAAACTACATTGCAAAAAATGAAAAAGAAACAAAATGGAAAAAGTAAAAACAGTGAGAAAGCAGAATCTGAAGAATTTGTGGTGGAAAAAGTACTGGACCGCCATGTAGTAAGTGGGAAGGTGGAGTATTTTCTGAAGTGGCAGGGATTTACAGATGCTAACAATACATGGGAACCTGAAGAAAATTTAAGTTGTCCAGAGTAAATTGAAGCATTTCTTACTTCTTAAAAAGCTGATAAAGCAAAAGATGGTACAAAAAGAAAATCTTTATCAAACAGTGAATCTGATGACAACAAATCAAAGAAAAAAAAAAGATGCTCCTGACAAACCTAAAGGCTTTGCCAGAGGTCTTGATCCTGAGTGAATAATTTGTGTTGCAGATAGTAGTGGAGAACTGATGTTTCTCATGAAATGGAAGGATTCAGATGGGGCTCACATACTGACAAAGCAGGCAAATATGAAGTGTCCTCAAACTGTAACTGCTATTTATGAAGAGACACTAACTTGGCATTCTTATCCAGAAGCTACTCCTGTGTGTGTGTGTGTGTGTGTGTGTGTGTGTGTGTGTGTGTGTGTTTTGATTTACTAGTGTGGAAAACAGCATTCTAATGAAAATCAAGTTTAATATGCCAGTTTTGAAAGATGTATGTGGAGGAGTTGTTGGGTTTTGTTTTGCAGCTGTAGCACTGTTTACTTTGAACAAATAAAGCTTTTGTGGTTGCTTCCTTTATTGGAAAAGAGCATTAGATAGCTTGATATATTTCCTCTGCTTTTCTAAATGTTGAAGGGAATTGTCCACAGTCAAAATCAGAACTCATTTTTTAGTTCACATGTTTAAAGACCTTCCTGAGGTTTTTGTTTGTGTATAAATAAAACACTTATATAAATGGTTTTTGTTTTGTTTTTAAACATTCACCAAAACAAAATCTATGGGTTATAAACTAGTTTGAGACACCATCATTCTGAGCAACCTAAGAAATAAATCACTTCTAGTTAAGTAGAAAGTTGTTTGTTTTCAGTATTTTTGGACAGGGTCTACAGGGTTGCACTACATAGATTGGACTCGTAGTGATTCTCCTGTGTTCAGCCTCCCAAGTGCTGGGATTACAGGCATACGCCACCATGCCCAATCTCAGATGGTGTCTCAGCACACCCTGAGAGTGGGGCCGGCATAGCATATCCCATCAGGGATCGAACCCCAGCCACTGTGCTCTGCCTGAGCAGGGGCTTTAGTCTGTTGAGGTATCCGGCCAGCCATAAGTAGAAAGTTTTAAATCCTTAATGTGATGTGACTTCTTTGTCATTTGTTCTTTTTTTCCAGAATCATAACCTACTGTTCCATTACTTGTACAGTATTAATGTATTATAGAACTCTGGTACTTTTCAACCTTATAAATAAATGTTCAGTAACCCTATTCCTTAGTATCACTGAATATGCTCTATCTCTGCCCGTAATACCTTTTTCTTCTCTTTTGTCCTCCTCAAAGAATCTCTCTTCTGTCTGAGAATTAATTCATGCACCATTTCTGAAAGTTTCTTGAGTTTCTCCTATGTACCTTTCCCACTTAGGCTAGCATTACAATATAGTTATTTTTCTTTACTGTTAACATTGTGAAAATCTCTAGGACAAGATGTCTTTCAGCTCGGGTTTCTCCATGTCCTAGTTGATAGCCTCATACATTGTAGGTACTCAGTGGATATTTTGGTTAGTATAATTTAGAATGAATTGAATGAACTTGTTTGCAGATACCTAGCATTTTAATTTTTGATATAGCTTGATTTACATATGAAATGTTTTTACATTTGAACTTTATAATTTTTAAAGAAAATTTTAATTGTAGTAGTTTTTAAATATTTTAAGTGTTGACTTCAAAACTAGAATATAGAGATTGGGAGTGTAGCTCAGTAGTAGAACATTTGTTTAGTGTGCCCGGTATAAAGAGTTAAAACCCAAAAAAATAGTTTCCAAAAATTCAAAATTTAACACTTAATATTTAATTTTTTGTAATTTCCTTCTATTTAAGGCCTACTGTGTAACAGAACCTGGAGCAGGCTCTGATGTAGCTGGCATAAAGACAAAAGCAGAAAAAAAAGGAGATGAGTACATTATTAATGGTCAGAAGATGTGGATAACTAATGGAGGAAAAGCTAATTGGTATGATTTTGAAAATATCTCTATTTCTTAATTTTATGTTGAGTATCTTTCTTATTTTTCAACCACAATTAAAATAAGCCATGTTCATGAAGAGAATGTTCTAAGATTATAGGTACTTCTGTGATTTTCAAGAACTATTTTTAAGCCCCTTAAATAATTAATTCTAATAAGTAATTTGTAAAATAAAATAAAAATCCTCAGGACTCTTCACATAGATAAATTAAGTAATATATGAAAATAGAAAAAACTTTTCAATGTTTTACTATTATATTCGATTCAATAATTTGTTAATTTTAAACATAGGAAATACATTTATTGTGTAAGGAGCATCATGCTTTTTTTCCTAGTGCTGCCTGAGATTGAATCTAGTACCTTTCACATGTTAAGCCTGTACGCTGCTACTGTCCTCCACCACCACCACCAATCCCCCCCCCCCACTGTTTTCTGAACAAAAATCCTCCTGGAGGTAAAAACCAGCAAAAGCGCCTAATAACTCAGTCATACAAATACTCTGCCTTTGCTGCAGAAAGAGGCCATAATCAAAACATAAAGTTCAGAACACAGTGTTCCTATTCATAAGCAGCCTTGTTTGCTATTTTTCTCAGATATCTTTCTCTTAAGTAATCTTGGTTTGGGGAAAGAAAACAATGCTCTTTCAAACTTGCACGTGTTTTTCTCATCATACATTACAAAATATAAAGAATTTTTACCTGTAATTCATGCTACCGGAGGTTAAGTTCCAGAAGAGTTAGGGAGTAGACCTGAGCTGAAAGACTAGTTCTGCCAAATGATAGGTATGTGGTGGACAACAAGTTTGATTGTTTATTTTTCTTGTCTGTAAAATGGAAGTAACAGTAATTGGGGCATTGGGAAGACTCACTGAGGTTGCAGTTACTTTGGTTGTCACCATCGTCCTGTATGTGTGTGTGTGTGTGCCAGGTACTTTTTATTGGCACGTTCTGATCCAGATCCCAAAACTCCTGCAAGTAAAGCTTTTACTGGATTTATTGTGGAAGCAAGTAGCCCGGGAATACAGATTGGAAAAAAGGTAAGATGTGTATTTAACAGTGATTAAGGCCTCAAGTGTGATTTTTAACTAAATATCAAAATTATTATTTAAGCATCTTTTAAATAAAATATTTCATTTAGTTGGAATAAAAATAAAGCTGCATTTTGATAGCAGGTGAAATAGATTATATACTGCTGAAATTTTAAATTGAGCAAAATAATAATTTTGAAAGATCGGTCCTTTATAGTACCTACCCATAGGGGATGCTAATAATAGCTGTGAGGTAGCGTGAGATAGAAATCAAACTATTATTTAGATTACCTTCCCAGTAGTGGAGTTTCAGATAATTCAGAGGACTCTCCCACTATTTCTGGTTGAATCTTCATAGCAAACTTTTTGTAGGCTACGTGACAGTTTTTCCATTTCATGAATTAAACAGTGAGATAAATGGATCAACAAAAATCATACATTTTGAGAGAGCCATCTATATCTGAGAAAAATGAGAATGACAGCCTGGAATTTTATTTAAGTAAGAAAAGGTTATTTAACACACTTTGTAGCCTTAATATGTAGAGATAATTTAGCACTTAGCATAGACTAAAGAGTTTAAAATGTGAGAAAGCGAAAACATAAAATAATAAAGTATTTCTAGTGAGAGTTTAAAAAAACATGGTTTAAGATTATGCTTTTGAGATTAGAAAGAGGGATTCAGGTTTATAGTTGTAAGACTTTGAAAAATGAATTTAAAAACACCTACTAGTGTTTGCATCTCTATGCCTGAGGCAAAGGAGAAATTGAAGATAATTAACAGTTACCAAAGATTACAGGAATGTTTTCTTCTTAGGTGATGAGAGGCACAGATTATCTGAGTAGAATAGGTTTGTGTGGGCTGAACTGGAAACACTCCTTGAGTTGACCAAATATATTTCAAAACCAGTCTTACACATTTGGAGAATCCCACTGGAATCTCTTCTGTTGCATCCAAGCCTAAGATGAGTATTGCTGACGTACATAAAAAGGGTAACTTCTGTTAGGTCATTGTTTTAGTCACCTTCTTTGTTACCTCAGTCTAAACCATAACAGTCATGGAATGTTAAAGTTAGAAGATACTCTGTATGTTATTTACGTCAGTCTAGTCATAGAATAATGAAAGCAAGATCTCACTAAATGATTTACTTAAGGTCACAATTTTAGAGGCAGAATGGTGGTTAGTAATAAGGTGTAAAAACTTTACTTGTGCAGCGTCTGATGTTATTGTGCTATATTTTAAAAACACAATTTTAAGAGATATAAAGGAGGGCTGCATTTTACAAATAAATCTAATGATATTGTTTATATAACAAAATGTAAGCACCGGCACTGCTGTGTGTCTCCCAAGACACTGGTCTTTGTATACCAGGTCCTGTTTCCTTCCTGGCGCTGGTGGCTAGCAATTTCAGGGCCAGATGTGTGGTGCATCAGTAGAAGGCATAAAGGAATTAGCAGCTTATGCCGACTCCTGACTACTTTGTCTGTATTTTTATTTATTTTTCTTACATTTTAATTCAGTAAATATTTATTAATAAGTACATATTATATACTAGATACTCTTCTAAGTATTGGGAGTAGTGTATTAAGCAAAGCAGAAAAAATTCTCTAAACTGCAAAACTTTTTAGTGAAAGGAACAGACAATTATATACAGTTAAGCCTCTTTAAACCTTTTTTTGAAAGAAGTGGCCATTTACAAATATGAAACTTAATGTCTTCAAAATGTCTTATATTTTAGAAATGATATGGTTTGGGAAGAATCTAGGAAGCATTTTGGCTTTAATTGTGAGACTTGAGGGTAAAAGAGAAACAGGTTAAATACTATTTTGTTTTGTAATGTTATGTTTTAAATTTTTATTTATTTTTTTGATACAGGGTCTCACTGTGTAGCTTGAACTAGTAGTGATCCTCCTGTCTCAGCCTCCCTGGTGCTGAGATTTGCAGGCACGCACCACCACACCAGGTTTTGGTGGCCAGCAAGGCACTCCCAGAATTCTGGGGCCTGCGCAGAATGCTGTTCCAGGGATCAAACCTGGGTCTTTGCACTTGCCAGACACTTAGACCACCAAGCTGTCTCCCCAGCCCCTGTTTTATAATGTTTTTCATTTTACCTGACAGGTAATCTAAATTACTTATCTTATTTACTTTTTCATTGCTGGGACAAAATATTCGAAACCCACAGGTTAGAAGAGGAAGAGTTTATTTTAGCTCAGTTTGTAGAAGTTTCAGTGCATAGTGAGCCGGCCCCAAGGCAGTTCAGCATGGTAGAGGGGCACTGCAGGGGAGAAACAGTCCATGGCAGAGCAGGCGTGAGGCAGAAGCAGCAGCCATCCTCCTGCCTGCCTTTCTTTATTCTGTCCAGGCTATAAGCTCATGGTCGGTGATGCTCGCCCCAGCATGGGTCTTGCATCTTCAGTAAATCCATTCAGTCAAATCCAGAACTGTGCTAAGCAATCGGTTGGGCATTCCTTACTCAAGCTGACACAAGTTAGCTATCACAGCACTGGAGTTTATTAATTTATAAAGGCAAAATAAGGGGTAGTTTCTTCCTGACTGGAGCTACTACTATAACCATTTCTTCAAATCTAGAAGTAGGCTATTCATATTAAAACCATATTAAAGTAATATATACCTCTATGTTTTCATTGCACCGTTTCTCATCCTGGTTATTAAAAGCCTGGCTGTTGGGCTGGGGAGATAGCTCGGTAGTCTAAGTGTCTGCCTGGTAAGCACAAGGACTTGGGTTCAATCCCTGGTACTGCATGCCATGCTGGCCCCGGCAAGCCAAGCATGCTGTACCAGCCACCAAAACCAGGCATGATGGCACACACCTGTAATCCCAGCACTGGGGAGGCTGAGACAGGAGAATCACTACGAGTATAAATGATTAATAAAAAGTAAAAATAAAAGGTTTACCATCACTGAAGTAGATAGAGGAAGGTAATTGATTATAGAGGCAGAGTAAGGTAACTTCTGAAGGTGCAGAAATACTCTGCATCTTGATTTTGGTAGTGGTTATACACATGCAATGTAACTGCACACAGTCCTTACAGTTCTGTTCCTCAGTGGAAGTTACCTGTGATGTCAGCCATGGTCTGAACATACTAAAAGGAAAATTACAGAAGTAAATAATTCCCAAGTTTTTGATCATGTTTACTGTAGTATATTGTTATAGCTCATCTATGCAATTACTGTATTTAATCTCTTACTGTGCATAATATATATGTTAAATTTGATCAAAGATGTGTATATGTAGGAAAAACGTTCATAAAAGATTTGGTAATGTCCAGGGTTTCAGGCAGCCAGTTGGACTCTTGGAATCTATTCTTTGCATAGAAGGACACTGCATAAAAATGGTGAATTTTTCTACATGTAAAGTCTACCTTAACGTAATTTCAACAGAGTTAGAGGAAACAAGACCTATTTTTTAGTCAGTAGATTACTTTAGATAAGCTAAAAGTAAAGGTCTCAAATCAAATTATGGTCGTTAAATGTTTCTTCTGACATTCATAGTAAAAAAGATTCTTTTCACACATTCATGAAGTATCCTTAGTACTTACCTGCCAGGGTAGATTCCATGATCACAAAGGTGCTTTTCCCAGGGCGAGGCTTATGCCTTGCACTCCGGATGTGCTGACCCCTGTAATTTCCCCAAATGTAGGATACTGAACTGCATAATTTGTGGTAATGGGAGACTGTGTTCATACTCTCCCCTTTAAAAAAAGAAATGTCCTCAGTTTGTAGACCTTTAGGCTAATGTTCATTTGAAAGCTATGACATTTTTTTTTAAATTTTACATATTTGGTGCAGGGTCTCACTCTGCAGCTCAGACTTGTAGTGATTGTCCCACCTCAGCCTCCCCCAGCGCGGGATTACAGGCACGCCCAGCCTTGGAGGCTGGTTCAGGGGGCCCGGGGCAGGGCTGGCATTGCATTGGTACTGGGAATCGAACCAGAGTTAACATATTTGCCTAGGCGGTCATTTAGATCACTGAGCTATCTCCGCAACCTGGTGAAACACTTTTCACTAAGGTTTGGCAAACTTTTTTGATAAAGATCTGGATTCCTCATGTTAGACTTGGCAGGGACATGGTGTCTGTCCACTGCTTGCTCAGTTCTGCACTGTAACAGGGATGTAGCTGTAAAAGGTAAGTAAATAGACATATCCATGTCTTAGTGAATTTTTCTGTATAAAACAGGTGTCACAGGCCATAGATCACTGTCTCTGCTTTTAGATACTTATAAAGGCCGAAAACAATGACTAAAGCTAAAATTGTTGTAACAAAAATGTTTCTTAAAATATGGCAATTTTCTTGTTAGGAATTAAACATGGGCCAGCGATGTTCAGATACCAGAGGAATTGTCTTTGAAGATGTGAAAGTGCCTAAAGAAAATGTTTTAATTGGTGAAGGAGCTGGTTTCAAAATTGCAATGGGAGCTTTTGATAGAACTAGACCTACAGTAAGTAGGAATAGGAATTGATCATCTTTATGGGATTTTCTTATCTATTATATTAAATATTTTTTCATTTTGATACTGTATACTTATGTTTTTAAATATCTGCTTATTTTAATAAGCGCCTATGTCTGTCACTGTTTTTTCCCCCAATGCTAGGGGCCAAGCCCGGGGCCACAGATATGCTCAGCATGCTTTTACCACAGATTTACATCTCCAGCCCCTGCCTGACGTTACCTTTAATTTATAAATAATACATACTTTAGTACTCATCTTGCTTTAAGCTATAGGGTTTTTTTCCTTTTGTATAATCCTTAACTTTAATCTTAGGAAGTAACTATTTACTGTGTATCTTAAAGATAATATGAACTTTTGTTTATAAAATGTTAAAATCCTAGGTTGCAGCTGGTGCTGTTGGATTAGCACAAAGAGCTTTGGATGAAGCTACCAAGTATGCCCTAGAAAGGAAAACTTTTGGAAAGCTGCTTGTGGAGGTAATTTTGATACTGTGTTTGCTTTGTTGAACATTCCTTTTCACTAAAATATTTAGAAATTATTTATTTTTTTTAGTTTTATTTTTTTAATTTTTTTGCCATAATTTTATTGATAAACAAATAGCAATGAGACAGTTTCAAATCAAATTGGTAGGACAGTTTCAATAATTAACACACTGCATACATTCTTCTTAGTGGTTAATTGCTGTTCAAGATGCGGACTTGATATCCTATTTACAAACACCATTAGAACAAATCATTCTATTCATTAAGAGAATGTAGCTATATATCTATCCTAACCACTTTGAATACACAGATACAAAATGCACATTCATCTGTATAGCCTTTTTTTGTTAAGTTCCGTTATTTGAATATTATAGGTGTGTAAACTCAGCAAAATAGTCTAAAAGAGTCCAGTAGCCCATAATAGTATTGGGTCTTCCACTTGACTGCCAATGTCAGAAATTGTTGACCTGAGTCCCCTACAGCTCACCATGGCTTTACTTCTTGTATTTCATTTTTATACTTTTCTGCTGGATGGTTAAGACCAAGGTAAAGCAGGACCTATGCAACAAGAGTTGTAGCTTTTGGGTCTGATAAGGTCAGTGAAACTCCCTCAGGATTTATCCCGAGATCCTATACCTCAGATTGTAGAACCTTTGTCAGTGTCAGCCATGTGGATGAGTCACGGCCATTGCTTGGCCAGTGTGCTCTCTGTGAAAGCCTGAGAGAATGTAGAAAAACAATTCTGAAAGAATCCTTGGCTGAGAGAGCCACAGCATGGTACTAGCACAAAAACAGAAGTGTGGATCAGTGAAACAGAATAGAGGAAGCAGAAACATTCTCACACACATTCAACTATTTGATCTCCATTAAGGGGCCAAAACACAACACTGGAGAAAGGATAGTCTCTAATAAATAGTGCTAGGAAAATTGGATCACTACATGCAGAAAACTGAGTCTTGACCCATATATCTCATCATCTACTAAACTAAAATCAAAATGGATCAAACATCTAAATTTAAAGCAGAACCATTATTCTGAAAGATAAAATAGGTAAAACTTTTGAAGGCATAGTTGTAGACAAAGACTTTATGAACAGAACACCAGTGGCATAAGAAATAATACCAAGACTCAACAAATGGGATCATATCAAATTGAAAACTCAAAAAAAAAAATAAAAAATAAAATAAAAGACCAGATCAAAAAATGGGCAACTGAAATGACCAGGCACTTCTCAGAAGAAGTACAAATGGTCAATAAATACATGAAAAGAAAGCTCAACCTCACTGGCCATTAGAGAAATACAAAGTAAAACTGCACTGAGCTTCCGTCTTACTCCAGAAAGAATGCCTGTCATTATGACATAAAATGATAAAAAATGCTGGCGAGACTAAGGGGAAAAAAGAAGCCTTCTGCATAAAGTTGGTGGGAAGGTTAGCTAGTGCAGCCACACACTGGAGATCAGGATGCTTAAAAAAACTAAAAGAAGAAATTCCATTCAACCCAGCTATTCACCTTCTAGGAATATTCCCAAATTAGTTAAAGTCATATTGCAGTGATGCATGTTTACCTATGTTCATAGCAGCACAGCATCAAAGCCAGATCTTAGAAATAGCATATATACCATCATTAGATGAATGGATTTTAAAAAATGTGATATTTATACACCATGGTAGGGCCAGGGATATAGCTCAGTCGCATAAGCACCTGTCTGGCAAGCATAATGTCCTGAGTTCAATCCCCAGTCCCTGGAAAAAAAAAAAGAGAAACCTCGAGTACTGCTTTGCTGTAAAGGATAAACTTGAGGCCTTTGTAAGTAAATATGTGTACCTCAGGACCATAACATTAAGTGAAATAAGCCAGACAGCCAGACTCATAAGTTTAAATATATTATTTCTCTTATATGAGAAACCCAAAATATAAACAGCAAAATAACAAATAGATAATAGGAGTAGGGCGATCTCTTTCAAGTAGGAAGGGAAGCAAGAGATGGGAAAAGGGATTTTAAAAAGACAATTAGAGAATTTAAGAAAAAGTTGGAAATAGAACTTTTACAAATGGGAAGGGGAGTTGGTTATATACATGCACAAATGTCCAATGATGAATATAATTGTATGCCATAACCATGTGTTAATATTTTTAACCCTTAGAAAAACACATGTTTTATGTAAGAAAAATAAGGGAGGACATTACCCTCCCTGTTGCACATGGGAATTAGTCAAACTGGTTAGCTATGTCTCCTGGGAGAGCTTATTAGTGTGCTGGTCTGAAGCAACTCGTCACATTCAAAATCATTACAATCAGGTTTATGTTACCAAATACAGTGTATGTATGAAGTTAAACAGCTCTATTTTTGTGGGGTTTTTTATGGCCTCTGATTCATATTTGTATATATTAAGTCAAATAATTTGTGGTTTATACAACAGCTATGTCATCAGATCCATTTTGATACTGCTTCCTATATGAAGTGGGTTTCTAATCATCTTAACATTAATTGTTTCCAAATGTCTACAAGATGCTTTTCTATTTCTAATTCAGGCATTGATGCACTAGAGATTGAACCCAGGGCCTTTGCAGTGAAGTCTCCATAGCTTTTTAAGTTTATTCTGAGACAGGGTCTTGCTAAGTTGCTGAGTGACTAGGCTGGGATTGAACTTGCCATCATCCTGTCTTGTCTCTAAGAGTACCAAGAGAATAGGTGTGCACCTTCAGACCTAGCTAATGTGAATCATTTTAAAGCATATGGCCCATTGTATTGTGAAACCATTTATAACAATTTATAAATTGAGTAGTAAAAGCCATAATCCTTCCATCCAGATAATTACCATGAATATTTTGGGGTACTTTTTCGTATATATTTTCCCAAGTTGTAACCATAATAAATTTTGGAAAATTCTTTATAATATATGGTAAGCATATTTCCATCCTGTGATGCATTTTAACTAAGTCATGAACACTTACCATTCTTCCTGAAGTATTTATGTCTCCCATTTAATTTGGAGCTCCTACAGCGAGGACATGCACCTTTCGAGCTCTCAGTGACACAGCCTGCTGTGCTGCACGTGCCATGGCTTCACCACCACTGCCCTAGAGTAGGTGGAGCATCATATCAGTATCTGACATATTGCCATTTTCTAAAGAAAGACCAGCAGACATCAGAAGGACACAGCTTTATGGTATTTGTCCTCAGAGTGCATAGTAGATAAGCCCAAATTGAGGGACAGTCTTACAAAATATGACCAGTGTTCTTTAAAGGCACAAAGGTCAAGAAAGACAAGGAAAGACTGAGGAAAAAGCCTGGGACAGACTATGAAGAAATGAGTGAATTTCAATTATAATTTTGGAATAGAAAAGACATTAGTGGAAAACTTGGCCAAATTTGAGTAAAGTCTGTAGTTTAGTTGATTAAATGCACTAGTATGAATGTTTTGTCCTTGATTATATTGCTCTGTGATTTGTAATTTGTTAACTTTAGAGGAAGCTGATTGTAACTTTTCTGCTAATCTAAAATGTGTTCAAAATTGAAAATTCAAAAAAAAAAAAAAAAAAAAACAGTCCTAAGAGCAAGGCTTGGTGGCACATGCCTATAATCCTAGCACTTGTGAGGCTGAGGCAGGAGGATCACTGTGAGTTAAAGGCCAGCCTGGGCTAACCTACAGGACAATACCCTTTCTCAACCCCTAACGCCCAGTCCTAGAAGAACTTCTAAGTTCTGTTGTTAGACACCTTAATCTGTTTTGTTTTAATTCTAGCACCAAGGAGTGTCGTTTTTGCTGGCAGAAATGGCAATGAAAGTTGAGCTAGCCAGACTAAGTTACCAGAGAGCAGCTTGGGAAGTTGACTCTGGTCGCCGAAATACCTTTTACGCCTCTATTGCAAAGGCATTTGCTGGAGATATTGCAAATCAAACAGCATCTGATGCTGTGCAGATTTTTGGAGGCTATGGATTTAATTCAGAATATCCAGTAGAAAAACTAATGAGGGATGCCAAGATCTATCAGGTAAGCTTAAAAAGGACTTTTGCTTATGAGAATATTCATAAATGATAGTAAATTTCTGGTTATTAGGGATTTAGTGCTGCTGAGTGATAAATGACTGCCATAGGTGACTGTGCCAGGTTTGGAACTGGCCCATGAAAGCATGTTGTTCTTGCCGGGTCAGGCGGTGCACACCTGCAGTCCTGGTATACAGACGCTGAGGAGCCAGGAGCGCCACCATGGGTTCAGGGCCAGCCTGAGCTGCATAGCAAGACCCTGTCTCAGAACAAAGTAAAACAACAACAAAAAAGGATGTTATTCTTCATTAAGTTTAGGTCAGCAAAGGGAGTGGTCTACAGAGTCAGAGGTGCAGACGTGTGTCATGTGTATAGATCCGTCGTCCTTGAGTTTTAACAACGCCAGCTAGTGGTAGGCCGTGTGTTGCCTCCACAAGGTGTTCATGCCATGTGAGATTTCTCTGTGTTGATTCATCTGACAGTCTTCATTGTATTGAAATCAGATTTGGAGTCAGAAGTCAGCACGAGGAGATAGTGATATTTGACTTCTAAATAAATTGATGGTTAGGAAAACTTAGATGAAAGAATTTAGCACAAAGAAATAGCCCAGCAGAGTGGTACATGCCTGTAATTCCAGTGAAGTGGAGGACAGTCTGTACTACTTAATGAGATGCTGTCTGAAGAAACCAAAAGAATGGAGAAAACAGAAAAGTGAAGAGAGGGAATTTAACAACTGTTTCTAAGGCAGCAAAAGAGGGAAAAAGGAAAGAAACCAGAATTAATAAAAACAAAACGGTAATAATAAAAACAAGATGGTGTTAAAACTAAGTAAGAACAGTTCAAAAAAGTTGGATGAATTTTTTGGAAACATGAAATTTTCATTTTCCCAAATTTTTGTACAAGATAACCTTCTCTTTCATGTTTTGAAGATTCTAACCCCAAATTTTGGAAAATAAACTATTACTCCTACAAGTTTCACTCTATAGGCTACAGAGTATACATGGTTTGCCTCAGTTTAATACTACAAGGGAACTCACACTGTTATCCAAACTATTGAAAAAACCAAGCTGTCTGTGTACTGTAGATGTTTAACCTTCTTTTGTGTTTTTCTTCCAGATTTATGAAGGTACTGCACAAATTCAAAGGCTTATTATAGCCCGTGAGCATATTGGCAAATATAAAAGTTAGAGATTGCAAAACATGATGATTGATTATAAACAGTGGAGAATGCCAAACATACATAATTCTTGAAAAATTAGCACCTGAGGGACTACGTGAGCTTCAGAAAGAGAAAAGGCTTCAACACTGTTCCAATGCCTACATAAATCTATGCAGTTGATTCTGATAGTAGTTTGTACTTTTACACAAACACAGTGATTTTCCTTTTTCAAAACAGATTCGGTTTCATTAAAAGTATGTCTTTAATACCACTATCCTTGAATGATACTAACTTAAAAAAAATAATTCTATCATTTGTGTCTCTTAAGATCGCAGTTATATCTTAGAATTCTGATGTTTCTAGTGGCAGAAAAGTGAGCTCATCTAGAATTCAAAGAATGTTCCAAAATTCAGTGAGAAAACGTAGATTTTGGATGCTATCAAATAACTTGCCAAAGACTTTGTAGACTTAATGATATTATTGTATCAAAGGAATGTATTTTATAATTTGGAATGAATTTTTTTTAGTTTTACACAATAAAAGAATTTTTGAAAATTGTAGTGTTGAGTCTACATTTCATTTGCCTTATTTTCAAATACTAATTTATTTTCAACACTACTTGCCTTAAATTGTTTTTATATGACTGTTGGTCTCTGGATAACCTTTGGTCTATTGTATATAATAGACTTTTTCATTCTGAAAAGGAACTTAAATTATGTCACTGCTTAATAGTATGGCTTTCTGTATTTCTTCTAGGACTCTATTGTTTCATGTATTTTCTCCTATGAAAAGCAGGCCCTGCCAGCCAGATAGCTCAGCGGATTAAAGCACCTGCTTAGGCAAACACAGCGACCGGGGTTCAATCCCCAGTAGGCCATGCTAGCCCCGTCCTGCCCCCCACCCCAGCACGCTGAGCTGGTGACTGAGACTGGGTGTGGTGGCACATGCCTGTAATTCAGTACTTGGGAGACTGAAAACAGGAGGATCAATTTGAGTCTGATCTGTGTAGGTGGACCCTGTACTAAATACATAAAATTGGACTGCATAAAGTTATCTGTTCCTTTTTTCTGTATTATTGAAGACCTCAGAAAAGTATAAAAACGAGGTATATAAAGTAAAGCCATCTTAATACGATGAGCTGTAAAAGGCTCAAGTCAGTAACTTCTGAGGATAACCCACTGATATTATAGATTGCTAGACAGTGTTAGATTCTTTAGTTGAATTCCAACTATTTGGATGCCAATGGAATATTCACCTCTGACAGGACAAAAAAAAAAAGCATACAAAGGAAAGATCATTTTGTATTTATATATACAAAATAGGATAGGTTTACAGCTACTTTTGCTTAATTCAATGAGAAGAAAGAGGTGTACTAACTGTTTGGATAGAATATCTTATCTGCTTGTGCTATGAATAACCACTAAGAAGATAACAATGTATAATGTATTATCAAAACTGTCCTATTAATCAGCTGTGAAACTGTCTCATTTATTTCTCAATAAAAAATAAAGTAAAGCAAAGGAAAGCATAGCTTTTTATAACATATAGTACATCTATGGCAATTTTAATCTATATTTAAGGAAGCTGCCACTATCAATTTGAATAAAGGGAAAAAAACTATTTCAAAATGCTTTATACTTTGAAGACTGGAGGTTTAGCTCAGTGGTATGTGCTTAGCATTTTCAGGCCTTGGGTTCAATCTTTAGCAATGATAAAAAAAAACTGTTAGGTATGGTACTATATGTTTTTGTTTGAACTACTGTAACAACATACCATAAAATGATGGCTTATCAATTACAGAATTTTTATTTATTTTTGGTACTGGGCATCGAACTCGGGACCTTGAACTTTCCAGGCATATAGCTTCTGAGCTATATCCCTGGTCCCCAATTATAAAAATTTCTTGCTCATAGTTCTGAAAGCTGGAATTCCAAGATCAGGATGCCAGCAAGGTTCAGTTCCGGTGATGGTCCTCTTCTAAAGCCATCTATTGCAGTATCCTCTCCTAACACACAAAAAAAAAGCACACTGGGTCTTTAGCCTCTTATTAGGGCCCTAATCCCATTCTTGAGAGCTCTACCCTTGCCACCTAATTTCCTCTCACAGGCACCACCTCCAAATACCATCACACTGGCAATTAAGTTTCCACTCATTAACTTGGGGCGTGGTGTGACTATTCAGTTTATATAGTATGTTGATATTACACTTAATATTGCTAAAGTGCAGAAAATATTTAGTGACTTCTGGTTATCTTAAAGCAAAATATTAAATCTGTTTGAATTGTCCAAGATTCATCTTCATACTGAAATTCTGGATTTTTAAAGATGTTTTTGAGCTAGCTTGTATAAGAATGATTTTTTTTAACTTAAAAATGTACATTAAAGAAAGTGTTTTGTGGGCCGGCCAGGTAGCTCAGCAGACTAAAGTGCCTGCTTAGGCAGAGCATAGCATCTGGGGTTCAATCCCTGCCACCTGTGGGGCGTGCTGAGAAGGAGATTGAGATTGGGCATGGTGGCATGTGCCTGTAATCCCAGTACTTGGGAGGCTGAAAACAAGAATCACTAGGATTCCAATCTACATAGTGAGACACTGTAGATTTTGTGTACCAAATACACAAAAATAAAAAAGAAAGAAAAATCCTGCCTCAGTCTTCCAGGGAGCTAGAATAACAGGCCTGCCCCAGCAGGTTTCGCTTGGATTAAAGATTTTTTTAAAAATCTTCATTAATTTGGGAACTACTCTCCCTGGAATTGTTTATCTCTGCCAACCATATCAGAGTTCTTTCTATAAGGCAGATTAATTAATGTATATTGCACGGTAGGGAAACATGTCATAGACGTTCAATGAGTGGGCAAGCTTTCTCAGTTACAGATATGCACATACATTCAGATTTTCATAGCTATGATTTCCACCATAAACTGAAAGTAAAATTCCTGGAGTCCAGATCTCATCAAAGAATAAAATATTCTGAACTTATTAAGGCTCTCAAAACACTAAAAGGAACAATCCAGCTTCTCTCTCATTACTTACTGAAATGATAACTGAATTACGTAAGTGATCATCAAGCAGACTCTGATAAAGTGCAGTTTTGTTCCCAGTGAGTATGAATTTATGGACTATGGCTAAACCAGAATCAAAACACAAAGCCATGAGGAAGAAGAAAACCTACATAAACAGGGTCAAGAAAATTTAAAGTCCTTGCCATGTGAGGGTCATTCTCGCCACTAAGCAAAGATGGCTTGGGCTAAGATCTGTCAGTGCTATTCTCAAGCGATGCAGTTTGACTCTCTCTCGTGGGTCCTAAGTTCATGTCCTCCCAAACTCGTAGAACTTTCATGATGGTAAAGTCATGATGCATAGAATTGTAAAATGAACATAGCAAGAATTTAATTTAGCTGAGTGTGGTGGACCTGTAGTACCAGGTAATCTGGAGGCCAGAACCAGAGGATCACCTGAGCCCACAAATTCAAAATCAACCTAGGAAATTTAGCAAGATCTGTGTTCAAACAAACAAACCAAGAAACGAACAAATAGTACATTGGACTCATTGATCAAGGAGAGAACTAATAATATATCAAAACAAATTTCCAGCAACCAATTTAAATCTTAAAATCTAGGTAACTTCAAATGCTTAAAAAAAAACCCTGACCTTCAAAATGTTTATATTTCATAAAACACACAATTTTCTTTTTATTAATAGTTTTCAATACTCAAATTTATCTTCAAAGTTTCATTTATTGTTTTTTATTTTAGGGAAGGGTCTATAGGGTGTTCAGAGTCATACTACTAGATTGGACTCATAGTGCTCTGCCAGTTTATAGCCTGCCAAGTACTGGGATTACAGGCACGTACCACCACACCCAGTCTCAATTGCTGTCTCAGCTTGCCCTGCGGGCAGGGCCGGCATGGCAGGCCAAGGGATCAAACCCCCAGCCCCTGCACCTGCTTGTAGGCGCTTTAATCCACTGAGCTATTTGGCTGGCCCTCAAAGTTTCTCTTAAATGGCTTTAGAATTCTACTTTTACATTATCTGCCTCATTTATACAGAGTTCCTTTTATTAAGGAACTGCTTCACCATAAAAGCTTGCAATGCCAAGATTGTGGATGAGATTTCATTTGCTTGAGTTGCGTCAAGAGCAGAAGAGTAAAGAAATCAGAAATCACCACATAGAGTGTGTGTGTGTGTGTGTGTGTGTGTGTGTGTGTTTGTGTGTAACAACCCTAGGATATCACACAATTTAGGTACATTTAAACATTAAGTTACATCCCCAGATGCAAGGACAGAAATTTAAAGTGAAATTTGAAGTATGCAACATCCTGTTTTTATGTGTGCTGCCTCAAAAATAAGTATTTACTATATTTCATTGATTCTAATGTCCATATTTTTCATATTAACATCTAAGGAATCTGGATAACCTTATGTTAACAGTCATTGGTTTTTCTTTGCATTTATTATTATTATAATTTATGGCATCACAAGTGAAATGTATTTTGGGGTCATGGAAATGCTACTCCACGACATAATAAAAATGTTAAAGGAGGCGATAAATAATTTAGGTATGAATTCTAATGAAATTTATCATTCCAGGTCATAATCCAGGCTTTGAACACAATCATGGGCTCAGGTGATAATAAAATGAAGCTCAATCAGGCCTTGAACTTAAAATCTTGTGCCTCACCCTAAGGTAGAACTAATTTTAGGAATTAACCTAGAACTAATCCTGAGAGAAGCATTTTTCCTTTACAAAATAATAGGTGTGCTTCTTTTTGTAAGGTATGCAGTGCAGACAAAGGAGATATATAGCACTGAACAAGAAAAATACTGTATAGATGTAAATCATATGTATAGATTTTTGTGGGGGTTTTGTTGTCATTATTGTTGTAGTACTGCAAATCCAATCCTGGGGCATTGTACCACTGAAAGTACAGAAATTTATTGTTGAACAGCCTTGAGCCGAGAGGGAGAATATATTTCTTAGAGTAGATAACAGGAAACACAAGGGTTTTTTAAATAATTTTCCACAGGTAAGGCACAGAACTCTGTTAGCCCTTTATATTCCCCATTGGTTTTGTCTGGGAATCAAATCTTTGACCTCATAACTTGAGTTGCCCGGGGGTGTGAGAGGCTCATTGTTAGATCTCAACACCATTAACTTTATCATCCAGATTCTTCGTTGTATATATGTAGTCAAACAGTTTATCATACAAGGTCTGATGAGCAGAACCAGAAGAGATATGATCAGGGGCCAATCAGAGCAGTTATCAGATTATTTATCCAGGGGGATATTGAAAATAATTCCCCTTTATTACCTTGATGGATATCTTGAGCTAACTCTTTTAGTATGTTTACCTGATTCTGTATCTGATGGCTGTTATCTGATAGATTAAAACAGCACATGAAATTTAGGTATTACATAATGTATAATAACTGAAAAGAAAGTTAGGCCAGGCCTGTATCCTGGTGTACTAATTTGACCTTGAGTAGATCGGGTGTCTTTCTGATTGACCATCTTGTTGAGCTGTCACCCATTGCAGCCAGCTTAATGTGGGTGTGATGAATCTAGTGTCTCTTTTTAGCTACATTAACTAAGGTGGGCATGCTCAGGATGACAGGATAAGGTCCTACCCAGCGAGGTCCCAATGTGGATGGATCCTGATTTTTTATACACACTAGAGAGCCAGGTTCTGTAGCCAGTGGACTGTCAAGTTGTTCTGCTCTTGAATGTTGA